AATGTCAACATGCTTACTTGACTGTTCTTGTGTACCCATCTTGCGTCATCTTTCACTGCTGAAGACTAGTTCTAATACTAAAGAACACAACTACGGAGGACGGTACAGATTAGAGCCCTGCATTGGGAGCGGGATCCCACGGGTCCCGCGGGACCCAACGCAAATCTCACGGGATTGGGCGGGTTTTAGATTGTCGTGGGTGGGAGCGGGCGGGAGTGACAGAGACAGCGGGCGGGATTGGGCGGGAATCGTCAGAAATTCAGCGGGAGTGGGCGGTAATGGTCAGAAATTCAGCGGGAGTGGGCGGGAGCGGGATTAAAAAAATAGTCCCGCGCAGGGCTCTAGTACAGATCCCCGGATGTTGGTCTTGCTCCGCCCTAAATGTTGAGAATACATCGGTTGCATCCTCGCCGAACGAGATCAATCCCATGACTCATTGCGCCCGAAGTTTGTTGTTGGAAGGTAAGTTAGCAGGACTGGTCTTTGTGTTATTGGTAGTGACATTCACCCAGTTAGTGTCCCTTAGTTACGCGTTTTAAGTAGCCTACAAATGATTTTCTAGGACAACTACCGATACAAATCACGATAAAGCTAACATAAGTAGTAAAAGATGAAAGGCAGCACTAATACCTAGTCCCGTGGTTTCCAGGTCGAAGAAGACCAAGTGGGGGTTCATGACGGGCGTCAGAATGCGATCTTGTAATCCTCTAATGCCACTGTCATCCCGTATAAACAGTGATCTGTTTGTCCGCGTCTACCCACGGAAACTACCGTTAAAGTTGTACCAAAACGACTTCGTTTGCAGTAAATATTGTTTTGTAAAGCGCCTTAACCCGCCCAGCCGTCGAGTGCGACACTCACAGGTGCGCTGGAAACTGACGTTAATGCGATTCAGAATCACTTGTACTAACGAGTCCCTTATAATTAGCACCTGAAATAGAAATCATCTGGCACAGGTGACTGAGCAAATAAAAGTATCCCCCCCTTGGTGTAAATGCCTGGACCCACCCCCAGATCACAAAAATTTGCCAATCCCCCGCCTTGGCTGCTAAAATTACCGGTGAGGGGTTAATTCTACAATAATGCAGCTGGTTGATTTTATAATAATGCAGCTTCTAAAATAATGCAGCCAACAGATACAGGAACTGATACTGGGCCGGCAGGAGGGCGTGATCTCACCAAACAGTTGGGAGAAATCAGGAACTGACACTGTGCGAGCAGGTCAGGACGACCTCGTCCCAGACAGCCGGGAAACAGGAACCCATCATATAAGAGATACTTATTTTAACTTTTGCTTAACATAAAGGGGAGTGGGGGAGAAACATGTACTCACTAACTAGAGCAAATGTCAAAACCTGTTGTCACGTAGATGGAAAAGTACTGAGAAAGGGGCGGCCATGGTTCGAGCTTCTTGCTGTACATGCTGAATGTATACGTCAGATAGTCGCTCCCTGATCAGAGAATAAACTGGTGACTTGCAACTATATGGAGTTAATTTAGTGCCAAAAGAATCAATCAAAATTTTGAAAACCGCAAGCAAATCATTAAGTATTGTATTCCAAATATCAAAAAAGTCAAATAAAATAATTTTATCCTTCTTCTTCTCTAATTTGTTTTGCTTTTGGAATGTTTTTCTTTGCTTTTGGAATTTTTTTTTTTGCTTTTGGATTTCTTTTTTGCTTTTGGGTTTTTTTTTTGCTTTTGACTTTTGGCACTGTTTTAACGGGTGG